ATTATCATTGTTTTAATAACAAAAATGAAAGTTCTTCTTGCAACTGGATAGATATATGGACATGACATGTATGCTAGAAGAAATGATTCGAATTTTTGCAAAATCTTATTATCAGCACTGGAATTGATATCAAAATGAAAAAGTCTTCATCAATTCTACGATGATAAAATTACTAAAATACATAATTATCCAGAAATGAATAATTCATTTATTAATTATTATGGACAACATTCATTCCATATTTAAAGAATTTGCTTACTTTTTTTTTCTTGAGTATATAACACATAATTGTTAATATTTTAAATATAAAGTGAAAAAAAAAGTATTCACCAATTATTGTTCTTTAAATTTAATTATCTTTTGTTTTAACAAATTTGAATTGCAAATTTCTTAAATTTAACATTTCTCTTAGTGAAAATAATAAATTTTTAAACTTTAATAGCATCTTTTTGATGAAAGTAAATTATCAAAATTTTCAAATTTAATATTTTTCATTCCATTAAAACATCTTATTATCGCATAATTTACTTATATATACTATAAAGCAGATAATTGAATTAGGAAAAAAAAATTAACCTTTCCATAAAAATTTTTTTTTCCTTTCTTGCTCAATATTATACTGTATTTGTTGTAAATAAAAGAATTCAATAAATGTAAATTTTTATTAACTCAAAATTTGAAACAACGATCAAATCAATTTCTCAATAAAAAATATAAAATGATATTATCAATTAATTATCAATTTCTGATAAATATAACATTTTACAAAAATTATTTGCATTTTTAGATGACTGTTTGTTATAATTTGCAATTATCAAACTCAAAACCATGGACACTTTTTCTTATTTTATTACGATGGCGTGGAAGTATTTGGAAACTTGTGCTAATTGAACTTATCGTATTTTTATCAATGTTTTTATCAATTAATATATTTCTCAATAATATACTTCCAGAAAATATACGGAAGTATAATTTTATTTAAATCTTTTAAATAATTAATTCTACTTCTTTTTTTGATTTTTCTTTTTGCCGTTTTTTTTAACATTTCATTAAAAATTGTTAATTTAAATGTTTTTATTTGTTTCTTAAAATTAAATAATGTAATATAGAAGATATTGATTGATTGATTTATTTATTGAAAATTTGCTTCATACATTATTGATTATTTATTTAATGCAAAAAGGAATAAAAGTATAATTGTAGTAATATGGAAAGTTTTAAAATTTATCAAATTAATTTTTTTATTATAAATTTTATTTAACTTTTTTTTTTTTTTTAAAATGATAATTATAGAATAGTTGCGGAAATAACAGAATGGTTTAAATCACAAGAAACATTTAAAATGATACCAATTGAATTTATGCTTGGTTTTCTTGTTCAGGCAATTATTACACGATGGCAAAAAATGATTTATCATATTGGTTTCATTGATAGGTTTGCGTTATAATTGTTTTAATTTTTTTTTTTTAAATTCTTAAATTATTCAAGTTTTTTTTGAAAATTTTTTTTGTTCAATAATAAATTTACAAATTAAATTTAAAATTTTCGATTTATAATTTGCTCTGTCTTTTTTTCTTTATTTTATTTTTATTCTTGATAATTTTACTATTTGATTTTTTAAATTAATTAATTATTTTCCAATGAATTAATTTGCTTTCCCACTTAGGAAATGCATTTTTTCCTTTTCTTTTTTAACTTTTACAATTATAATAAAGAAGTAATAAATGGTATTTTCAGAAGTTTTATTTATTTTTTTAAATTTTCAACAAGATCTTTATCGTTTTTTATCTATTTTTATATTTTTTATTTTTTTAAATTAACAAGAGAGCAATTATGATCAATTAATTAATTATCAACAATCAATATTTCTATCTTTTATTATTATTGTTTCTTTTTTTCTTTTTTTACAGTTTATCATTAACAGTATCTGGTTATATTCATATTAATACGGATTACGGTCGTATGATACGGCGTAATATTGTCCGTTATATTTGTTTAGCTCAAGTACTTGCATCACGAGATTTTAGTATTGCTGTACGAAAACGATTTCCCACAATTGATTCTATTGTTTCAGCTGGTGAGATGTTAATAATTTTTTTTTTTTATCAATATTTATATCAGATATTAAATCAAAATAAAATCATTGAAAAAAAAAAAGAAAAATATATCTAGGGTTAGGGAAAATTAAGCTTTTAACATACTTAACATGATAAAAATTTTGCTTATTTATTAATTAATTTAATTCATCTATTTATTTCAATTAATATGATCGGCTTAATATTATTTGATTAGCAAACAAATGAGGCAATAATTTAATCAAATTAATAAATGACAAAGAAATAATTTGTTAAAACAATGAAATAATTTGTTAAAATTATTTCAAAAATGCAACTTTCCTCGCATTTTGCTGCGCTCATTTATTAATTAACTTAATTCACTTATTCCTTTCAAATAAATAATCAAATAAAATTTATACTTACAAAAATTCATACTTTTTAAATGACTAGGTAAAATCTATTTACGAAATATTCTTTAATTATTTTAATTAAACTAATTGGCTTGAATTCCATTTGATTATTCGACAAAATGAAGCTATTACAATTTAATCTAATAGATAAATGATAATTTTACGATTCCTTTCGGAATTCTGTTTTCCTCTTCCTTGCTTGTTTATAAATCAGCTCAATTCATTTATTTATTCCAATTACCTAAAATGATTAAAGTAATTAGCTTGAATTTAATTTGATTATTAAATAAATGAAGTCATTGCAATCAAATCCAATTGATAAATGATAATTTTAAAATTACTTTAAAATTTTTATTTTAATCTCCGTTTTGCTCACATGATTTCTATTTCATAATGATTGCTTAAAAGCTTTTTTCTTTTTTAAAAAATAAAATTTTTTAAAATTTCATCGTTTCATTTTTGGTTTCATGTTACCACATGAGAAGATAAAATTCGATCAAGTTGATTGTGATTTTGGATCAAAATATTGGTTACCTATACAATGGGCACTTTCTATTGTTTGTACCTCTCGTCAAAGACAATTAATTGACAGTGATTATTACTGTGAACGCATTTGTGAGGTGTATTTTTTTATTTTATAATTTTATATTAGCAATTATTATATGATAAATTTTTTATGATAAAAATTTAATCCAATTTATTTTCAGGAAATTAGATGCTTCCGAAATAATTTAGCTAATTTACGGAAATTTGATTGGGTACCATTACCGTTAGCATATCCTCAATTAGTATATCTGGCAATACATGTCCACTTTTTTATAATACTTATTTCAAAGCAAGAAATTATCCTATCAGCGGCACAAAATAATACGACAGAAACGTCACGTACCATAGCAATTGTTAGCAAATGAATCCATTTCACTTTTTTTTTTCTTTTCCTTTCTTTCTTCCACTTATTTTTTGGAAAATTTTTGTTGAAAAACGAAAGAAAAAAAAAA